GGAAAGAGTTGAAGAGTCTCGATCACCCTCTCGGGCTCAGAAACCTCATACACCTGAGCATAATCTGCTAAAAGAAACAAATCCAAATTAATCAAACATTAGACAATCCAAGCTAGTTCTGTTATCATTACATATCGTTTTTGAAAAACATAGTAGCAGTAGTAGTACATAACTGCATATAGATATTCTTCCACAGAGATTATTCATCAATAGATACTTAGTAACAATAAAAAAAACTACATATGGATCCATCATGGCAGAGATTACTCATCAGGCAGAGCTGGTGGATAGTTACTAAAAAATAAATAACTTATAGATCAAATATGGTACTTACTTTGTGCAAAAGAATTCTTGGGGATAGAGTTTTCTCTACGAATCACACCCTTATCAACCTTGCGACGTTTCTGTCTCTCCCTAGCCTTATGGTTTTGAAACCAATAGAACACATTCTTGCTCTCAATCTTACCATAAAAACTAAGCTGATTAGAGATCTTCTGAATCTGATCAGTGCTTGGTGTTCGGAGCCCAGAACTGAACAGTTCAGTGAGAACCTTAACTTGTTCAGTGGTGGGATTCCAACGCCCACACTTTGTGCCAGTGCTGTTACCACCAACACTTGCACCTCTAATACAAAAGCCTGACATGCCGTCTTCCATAATATTTCACTTCCAGATTCCTCTCAATGATTCTGTGCCTCTGAACTCAACACTTTCCTTCTGAGCTTCTGAACCATAAAGATCTCAGTCCGTGTGCATTTATAATACCATAACCATGTAGTAATCTAGTACCAAAATCTTTGTCCTTTTCCTCTTTGTTTTTTTTTGTATTGCTTTTGGGGCATTATAGTATATATATATAAGTCATCTTTCTGTCTTCTTTGAATTTGTGAAATATGAGGTTAATGAACATTGGACAGTATATGCGGTTGGTTTGATTTTGCTAGCCTGGTTTTTTGTGCTAATAAAGAAATAGAAAAGATAAAGACATGCGTAAAAGGAGCCACTATTCAAAGTTTTGGTCCGGGGACAAACAACATGTAAGTTTCATTAATAGTGGTTAAACTATACATGCAATAGGAATATAAATGTGTTTTTCAGTAAAGTGTGCACTTGTTGCTAAATTGTATACTATTATATATACTATGCTTTTTTTTTAATGGTATAAAGAGGTCGTTTGTGTGTCTTTGTATAATTTTTAATGTTTTGTGCTTCACCAATATACTTACCAGATAAATCCAGTTCCATGAAGACATGGGAGTTAAGCCAAATATTTGTTTTTAAAAGAAGTGGCTGTCTGGTAAAGTTTATAAAGAATGGTTAAAGTAGATATATATTTTAAGTGTGAGGGAGTGGCATAGGAAGTGAAAGTCAAAGTTGCACATTGTTTGATCTCTTTTGGACTTTTGTGATCACAATAAAGGCTGACAGAGATACTGAGTTAGGTTGACTAGCTTTCATGGAAAACTTCTTTTTAAGATGTGAGAACATGAACTAGCGACAACAAAGCCACCCAATTGAGAGATTTTGGAGGGACAATCCATGACCTACAAAAAGGAGAGTAACTCGGCTTTTCTTATGTCATTTTCTCTTGTCTTTGGTCATTGTCCTTAGAATAGGGGCACAAGCCTACCCCTTCTCCTTCTTCTTCTTTTCGTGTTGTTTAATCGGCTATGAAGTGTTTGCATTACGGCTTTTGAAGAGTGGGGATGTAGAAAACACGCGGTGAAGATTGAAATTGGTCGACTATATAATTAAAATATTTATTTTAAACTATATAATTTTTAAAAAAAAAGTTATTATATCCAACACTAGTAAATGGTTTGGTGGTGAGGAAAGGACATAGGGCACTTTCTTTGTGCACTTGCTACAATTCCCGAGGATGTTGTACAATTCACGAGTCCCATTTTATGTGTTGATAGTTGAGAAGAAGGGGTTGCCTTGCCTACTCTAACTTGTAGGATTTTTGGACTGAAGCTGTTAAGCATGTAGTGATTTGTCATACACTCATACACAACACATGCCTCATCGAGCAGCTAAGAAGTCTCATCCAACCTACAATCTCTCTTTGTCTAAAAACAAAATACTATATGTTGTATATCACATTTTCAACTAACATTTAATTAAGCTATTGAAGCGCCTGAGGCAGCCAAGCTTGGAAATCATCACAATCAATCAAATTTGTAGTTCAAATCACGTATTTAATTTTTTTAATTTTCAATCAAATTAGGAAGAATTTGGTCCAAGGTTAAATTAAAATTGGTAAAAGTGGCTTTTACTCTGTCTTTTTCTAGTTGTCCAATATCGCAAAAATAGAACAGAATGAGAAAAAAAGTACGTAAAAAAAATAGTAGCTCAGAATACAATCCATAGGTGGTCAAATGTCTGGTATCACATTGAGCTCCAGTTTTAATAATAATAATAATAATAATAATAATAATAATAATAATAATAATAATAATAAAGATAAAGGGAGCATGCATTTGTGAGGAGAATATATAAAATTCGAATTTCCAAGAAAAATTGGATTTTTTTGACAGAAAGAAAAATTAGTTAGGTCATAATCATATTAAAAGAAAATTAAAAAAATAAACTGTAATGTTTACGATATTTTAGGGGTAATAATGATATTTTTCTAACTATTTAAAATTCTTACACGATTTAGATATCCATGTCCTGAGGCTGAGCAAAAAACATAAGCTAACCAGCCGATGCTTATTTGTAATACTCAAAACACCTTCCAAAATCCAAACACTTGTGGTTTGAAGAAGTAAATAAATGAGAAACGAACTTAAAAACACTTTTTTTTTTTAATATCTATAACTAAAACACTTTAAATAGTAATAATTAGGAAGAAAGAGACATAAATAAAATTTAAGAGAGAAAGTATAGTGGATACTTTAGAGATAGTAGTTATTCTCATTTTATCTTTAAAATATTTTTTAATTTTTCCTTTTACCCTTTTCTACATAAGGTAGGGTTATATATATTTTTGTTTCTCTCCACTCATAAGGTTTAATTTTACTGCTTTTTACATTAGGATTTTCTTATTTTTATCCTCGTACTACGTAAGATATTCATAATGATAGAGAATAAATTTATTATATTTTACTTTGATTATTAAATTTTGGATATTTTTATATTATACTGTTTAGTTTAACTATAATACTATTTAGGATATTAATTTGATTATTTTAGCATTATATTTCAACGTATTGATATTGATAGATGATAGATTTATTTGTCGTTTATGTAATTTTTTGAATTTTCTTATAATATACTGTTTATTTTAACTTATTTGTTCTATTATTTTTAACATCATACCTCAAGATATTTTAACGATTACACTCATTAATGTAATGAAAGTAAAACGTGTACTTAAGCGTACGTTAATTTTACTTTATTTTAAACTTGTTAGAAAATATTTTAAGATATAATATAAGATGCAAAGTTGAATACGCAATATGAAAAAAAATAATAATAAATGAAAGTAAGAAATATAATTAAAATCATTGATCTATAAACAAAAATTAGAAGAGTTTATAATTAATTAAAAATTATAATTATAAATACCAAAAAATATTTTTATCAATAAAATAAAACTATAAGTTATATAAATAGGATATAAAATAAAATATTTTTATTATTTTATATTTATTAGCTACTTCAATAAATAACTTTAACACTTATAACTCCGTAAGCAAGTTTAACAACTTTGAGCTACTAGTTACCAATTTTCAATAACCAACTAGCATTTTAGATTCTAGCTAGTTTTATATATATATATATATATAGATATTTTTGTCAAGTATATCCTTGTTCTTAATTTCATTAATTATTTTGTAAATTTTGTGAGCATAATTTTATTTTATTTTACTTTAGAGAGAGCGAGCATAATATTAATTATTTGATTATTGAATTTAGTACATGTATTGATCAATTATATTCTTAATACATGAGTCTAAAAAAATTGTAAGAATTACAAAGCCAATGACCACAACGAAATTCAAATCTTAGATCCATTACATACCACTTCCACTTTTCGCAATTAAATTTTACCGATGGCATAATATTAATATATGAGACTAAATTGTTTACTCATTGTTAAACTGAAAAATAAGTTAATGATAATTAACGAATTCAGGAACCAAACCTAATATAATAATATTAAGGATGAAAATGATGGATAGCGTGAAGTTTAGGATCAAATTAAAAAATAATTATTGAAGTGAGAAGCTAAATTTGTGATTATAAAATGTAGGATCAAATTGACGAATAATATTAATTTTAAGGAGTAAATGAAATCTATATATCCTATTACAATGACAATTGCGCTAAAATATTTCCCATTTGAGTCTGCCATAGAAGTGGATGGGTAAGGGAGTAGAAATAGAAATATGAAATGTTGGACGCGGGCTTTTCGTATCAACCGTGTCTACACTACTTTTCTCACTGCTTTTTTTGCCTACCAATCAACGCAAAACTTGGTCCTTGCCATCGCACCCACAATTGCATTTCTTTCTTTAATTAATGTAATTGCAATTCTCCATTTTATTGGATACAATAAGAAAATCATTGCAAACCGCGTTAGGCAAAACATTCGCCTTCTGTCAAAAAGTGAGTGAGTCGATCTATCATATTCTTCGTGACACTGCCAAAATATAAGATTTATATGGTTAGATTAGAAATCATCAAAGAATATGAACGTATCATCTCAAAACATAACTAATTTATAGACATAGCAAACAATTATAGTTATTGCTTTGGAGGAGAATGCAGACAGTTCCCGAGAATCAATACATATAGAAGAAAACAGTAATATGCAATTATGCATGTAGAGAAATCCAATGTAGTCCTACAAATCCCGGAAGGGAAACTACACACCCTCACTACCTTAGTCGCATGTTTGCATTTTTCCGACCAAATAATTGTCAATTGAAGATTAAAAATTCTAACCAGGGATTCTCCAATCTATGTAACTGTTAATGACAGTGTCACCGAGCAAAATGTTTGTTAGGTGCATTGAGAATTTTGCTCCTTTTTTAAGGGGAGGAGAAATAGAAGACTCGAGTGAGAGACAATGGCCAATATTGATTCAAAATCAACGTTTGTTTGACAAAAACAGAATGAATAATTGCATTGATGCGAAGCGAAAGGTAATAAGAATGATTATAACCCTTATCAGGTCATTTAAAATGGATGAAAGAAAAAGAAATGCTAAATTAGAATGCAAACATTGAAGATCATCAGTGGCAGTGAATAGACCTTTACATACTATCTTCATTCAAACTTCAAGCAATTACATTTCTTTCACTGAAGCATATAACAGAGACGGTTAAAATAATAACCCTTATTGTTACACTTTATTTATAACCATTTTAACCTTCCTTATAACTACATAGATGTAGAGATAATCAAAATACCGCTTTTCATTATAGTTATAAGAAAGACTTTAAAAGATCATAACTACAATGATTTTTAATCTTTATACATGAAAATCAGACTCAAATTTATCTTAAAAACTTCAGATTTAATTCTAAGTGAATCAAAAGTAATAAACAGAATTTATTTATTTTATTACGGAATTTATCATATGTATCAAAATTATGTACTTTTCTAATAACTAATTTCATAAAATAATATTATATTACAAAAAATCCCAAATCACTGCTTCGATAAATTATTATAAAAACTCGAAAAATAGGACTTCAGTCATTAGCTGCGCCGATTATGATTGACTATCAAAGTCGAACTAAAACTTGATTAAAAAGTACGTTCAAAGAAATTCTCATGTCAAATTTAATTAAAAACTGAAAGATTGAAAAACTGTTAAATACTTGAATTTTCAACTATATCAAATCGCAAAATAGGTAATGGAAGGAAAACTTTCGCTCATTTTCTTTCAAATACAGATTACATGAAAATTGACAAGTAAACACTACCCTGCAACCTAGGACAATATCCAAATAAACTTACCTATGCAAAGCCAAGTACAAAATAGAAAAGATAAAAAATACAATAAAGCAAAGTAAAAGTGAAGTATAAAGCAGACATTCCCCGTTTCTGGATAATAGAACAATAAAGTAAACTTCTATCAGAAAATTGTCTTCGCCTACAAAAAGAGGGAAGAATCACAGAATCTGAGCAGCCGTGTTCAATTTTTCGGCCAAGCTAAGCTGCGTTCTTGTGATGCTAGATAAGTATAGCAAAAGCAAGTGATCCTGAAATGGATGAAACACCCGTGTAAGCACGCACAACTAAACCATTAACGGCACACTGAGAAGACAGGCTCATAAACCAATAAAATATGAAACAGACATGTTCAGTCACTTTTTGCAATTTTCATCGAAATCCCAGTAAACCACTAGCACAAAAACATAAGCTTACCTGCAAGCTGTCATTGACAAGCTTATCAAAAACTGATGGGGACACTTTGGGAAGGGAACCTACGGCATCTGATATATGTTTACCGATTTTGTTGTCTGGTGGAACTCGCCCTTCCTGGGTTGAAAAGCTTATTAAAACAATCTCAGAGTAACAAGACAACAGATTAACGAAGGCAACAACATACCACAACATCATCAACATATTTGTAGATGTCATCAATCAATACTAGTAGATGCTGCATTGATGCTTCCATCCCTTCTAAATCTGAGGGAATTTTGTCAACAGCGGTTGCCTTCAGCATATCAACTGCAATCACCAGAATAAACATAAAATCAGCTACAATCATTAAACAAAAGAATATCTTGGTTCCATTACTAAAGAATAACATAATTACAAACAACACCACTGTCAAATGATGCTATTAATAAGACATTGCCATTGCTTGGTGGAGAAGAGAATGCAAAAATCAATCATTCAATGAATTTTCTTTTAGACTATGAATATAAACAAATTAACGGCTTAATTAAACTATGAACTTCCATCCAAGTGAACGTCAAACAAGACATTTAACAAAGGGACATGAAAGCACCCACAATTTATACCCTAAAAACAGAGAGAAAACACTTTGTAAATTTGTCATCCTGAAGGGAATTCAGGTAGAATGGGCCAATGGGGGGACAGGGAATCCTCAGTTTCAAGACTCAGTGAACTACAGCTGAAAAATACATATTCACTCATTATATAGGTATGCCATAAAAATGACTTCAATGAAAATTAAAGAAAGAAGATGAAGCGCAAGCGAGCTTGTACTGTAGACTCTGTCCCTTCAGTACAAGACAATGCGTGACTCTATCACAAACAGCTAAAATAAATTTCAAAAAACAATTTATTCATTAACATAAGAAAACTTAAAACAATACTCTTTTCAGATGCATTCATGAAAGTAAGCATATAAGCTTTAGCAAATATATTAAACAAGAAAGAAAAGTAGAGGTTGAGAGAGAAGTGGGGGACAAAGAAAGAGATAGGATAATTAAAAAGTTAATTTCAACGATTACTTACATCCAATCCGCTCAGCTTCCACCATACGAAGATCTAATGGAATTTCTTGAAACTGTGCAGCAATTTGCCGCTCTCCAAGAGATAAATTGTTGGACACATATGCTTTAATGGTACCCGCTCCATTTGTAAATCCTGTATCAACTGTCAAGTGTATGGGATTTTGTACTTCTCGAGAATAAAATTCATGGATCAATGCGCTACCACCAGTTACTCCAAGACCAGTTGAATACCTGCATAAATAACCAAAGTTAACATTGCTTTTTCCACCTGGAAAAGGAGAAACAAACTCGGCGAATCCTCCTGAGATCATAAGAACTGGAGGGGGGACAAATGAAGAAACAATTTAGGATAAAACAGCTCTCCAGTCCATTTGCATATTAATCACTGAATATCCCCCTTGAGAAACCATTTGCTTTAATCCACTAGGACACAACAATACCTAATTCGTTTTCAGGTAAAATATAGAGTGAAAATGTTGCATTGAACTCCACGTCTCCACCCAAATACATTGTACTTAAACCCCACTTTCAGAATCCAAAGCAAACATTTTCAACCTAGGCCATATGGATCATGGATGTGCAAGTTTTCTGGGCACACACTTCATTGAGAATACTATGATAACATTTGGGGGGGAAAATAGACTTTTGAAAAGAATTGAAATTACCATCCAACTATGATTTCCTTTGGATTCACTTTTTGGTGGGATAATAACATATTGTGCTGGTACTCTATATCCAAAGCAACCTGGAGAAAAATAAGTAAAAAAATCAGAACATTTTTTTTAGTGAGAACAAATAATTTAGCTGATGTTAAGAGGAAATAGATCCTACAACCAGAAGAGAGACCTTTGAAAAATAAGAATGAAAAGGTCAACAATAGAGTCAAAACTCAAAAAAAAAATAATTTTGAAACTTTTTTCTTGGCTTTAAATATTAGCAGCAACTGTACTGCTAGTGAAACTTCCCCTTTCTTGAAGAACTCTACATGGATCACTAACTCTAATTGACTCATAAAATTACTAATCCCATTCACAAGGAGAAAACAAATTGCCTCAACAGGAGATAAATTAAACAAATAATTTCCATGTAAGAAGCTTCAGCCAACTTTCACCTAGTGGGATAAAGCTATTATTGTTATTTTTAGGCTTAAGCTAACTTCCTATCAAGAATTGTGTGTTCCTCAAATTTCCTTCCTGTTCGAGTTTCAGAATGTGAGTAGCATTTCTAAATAATGTGGGAGTGGGACAAGTAGCCTCAATTGCCCAGTCAATAGATAATTTACTATATGAACCTTGAACTACGTTTGGATATCTAATGATGAGTAAATGGAAAGGAAAATATTTCATTCCATTGTTTGGAAACTAGAAGGAATAGTAGAGTTATGATTTATATTATAATTGTTCTATCACAAACCCATAGAAAAAGATAAGTGTCAGATGAGGCACGAGGAAATAAATTCCATTAGATTCCCATCCATTCCACCCTGTTTTAGATAATCCAAATAATACCAACTAATCATTTCATTCCATCTCCTTCTAGTGTCATGCACACCCACCAGGCAATTACAAATTGCAAATAAGAAGCATAGTAATAAGAATCACATAACTGATGAAAACTTAGGCCCCGTTTGACGAACATCTCAATAAGCACTAAAGGAGAAGAACATAAGAAGGTTAAACTTCTCCCATAAGTTAAAAGTAGCTAATTTAGCTTAGGCATAAATTAATTTATAAAAGTTCTCTTGATAAGTTCCTCAAAAACAAAATTTAACTTACGTGAGAAGTTTAATTCATTTTAATTCCTGTGTTCTTCTCCAGCCAGTGTTCATTAAGAAATTTATCCAAACTTTTATTAGTTGTGAGATAAATGTCACACATTATATAGCAAGTGGATGAAACATACTAGATCATACATAGTAACATAGACCTAAATGCAAAGCAAAATCCAACAAAATCAAAACATGACCTAAATAAATGAAACTAAAAAATCAAAAATAAAACAAAACCGCATGCCTCAGATCCAGTCGTGGGACTAAACTCCTACTCTAATTATCATTGATAAGAAAATAGAGAGTGAAGGACCTGCTCGATGCTCTCGTTGTGAGGAACGGCATAGGAATTGCGGATATCGACGGTTCCATCGGGGAGGACGGAGCCAAGTAGGGTTCCGATGACGCGGTCGGCTTGGTCAGGGCGTCGAACGTAACAATCGCAGATGTTGAAGACAACGAGAGGGTGGACCTTCGCCGACAAGCTCGCGGAAGAGGAAGAGGAAGAAGAAGAGAACTGCAACACTGTGCGATCGCTCGCCGCCATGTTCGGAGATTCGATTCCGCACCTTCACCACTCCCTACACCGAACTAGGCGTGCCAATGAACGATACAACGCTAACACTCTAATCTGTTACTAGGGTTTTACACATGGGCTTATCCGTGATCAACGTTCAACATTCAACAATAACAATTCCCCTGTTTTTTTTTTTAACTCAGTTTCAGTTCGACAGAATAAGCCCAGTAGTGAGTAGACCAATTTGGCCCAAATAAGGAGGCTCGTTTAGTCACGTTGTCTTTTTTCTTAAATCCAAAAACAAAATATTACTGACATTTTTTAGTTTTATTTTCATATATGGAAAAAATAGGTTACAGAATTCGTGATCGAATAAAAGCGCGAAAACTATTTTATTCTTTTATTGCAATGTGATTTTTTTAAAAATTTTTTTACCTTTTAGAATTCTTAATATTAATTTTATATATTATTAAATTTAAAATATTATTAATACTCATACTCACTTTATTTCTTAATATAAGATATAATTTAAAAAAAATAATGATTCTTTTTATATGATATTTTACAATTTCAATAATATCTTATTAAATATTACAACCGAGTCTATATCTTGAATATTGATGTTAAATAATGAGAAGAAAATTTGATAAATAATTTTTCTTTTACTACTTGAAATTTAATTATTATTTTTTATTTTTATTGATATTAGTATATAAAATTTGATAAATAATAATATATTTATCCCTCTGTTAGTACCGAAAAATGAATTCGGAGGCACTCGAAATACAGAGGTGCTTTAAATCTTAGGTGATCGGAAAATGGCGAAGAAGTTTCTGAGGAAGGACACGAAGACACTTTTCGAGAAACTCTCGAAATCATTGTACCAGGAAGGATACGAAGACACTTTTCGAGAAACTCTCAAAATCATTGTACCAGGAAGGACACGAAGACACTTTTCGAGAAATTCTCGAAATTATTGAACTAGGAAGGACGTGCTCAAGAGAAAGGCTCACAGCCTCGCAACCTCTCAAAGTACAAGAAAAATCAGGAAACACTCGAGTAGTATATTTTTCGTTGGTTACTCGAAATCCCAAGAATCCGGACATACACGAACACACTTCGCAACCTCTCAGAATGAAGAACTTAAAGGAGACACGATTTAAGAGCGATTGAAGTAAATCATGGGATAAGTGTCAAAGGCTGCAGAACGGTTTGGGGAAGTTAATGAGCAGTTCCAAGAGTTATCCAAAGACGTGCCCGGGAATAAGCCACGAGGTCGAGGTGGAAGTTTAGAACGGTTATGCACTTCCGGGGCACGTCAGAAACAGTTACCTTTCCCAAATCTTTGTCTATAAATTAAACGATCCATGCTCGTAGCAGGAGGTCGAAAATCTAATTCCCACAATACCTCACATGCACTCCGCAGCATGTGCATAAGGCATACTGTGCGTACGAGACAGCTTTGGGTACGATTTCTCGACCACCTTTCTTTTTCC